ATCAAGTAGATAAAAAGGAACAGTCCTCAGGTACTTTGCAAAGTAATGATACAATTCAGAATGGTCAGATGTGTCCTTCAGGCTGCCCCTGGAGCTCCTGGGGTCTTCTTGCCTCTATAAGCAAAAGCTCAGGCCCTAGCAGGTTTTGCTCAGTGGTTAGAGCATCAGCCCAAAAACTGACGGGTCTCAGGTTCGATTCCAGTCAAGGGCACGTTCCTTGGTTGGAGTCACAATCCCTGACCAGGGCACGTGCAAGAGGCAACCAATCCAACCAATCCAAGTGTTTCTCTCATTTCGATATTTCTCTCTCTCTCTCTCTCTCTCTCTCTCTCTCTCTCTCCCCCCTCCCTCCCTCTCCCTCTCTCCCCCTTCCACTCTCTCTGAAAAACTGGAAAAAATATCTATGGATGAGCATTAAAAAATAATTAAATAATAATTTAAAAAGCTTGGATAAATTAGAACTTTGAAAATTCTCATTATCATTGCACTGGACTGCAGATGGTGTGTTTTCAGGAGGGTGTGCCCCTTAATGAGCTGGTGAGAGACATCCCCTTTCCTCCCAAAGGGATGTAGGGGTTAGGAGTTAGGGGGTGGCATCTGTAGGAGCCAGAGTTGTATTAAAACATCAATGTCAAGTATTTTTCAGAGACAGAGGAGGCATCTGTGAGAGTTACTTGGAAAATACAGCCATGTGTTGGTTACCTGGGAAGGGAATAATGTAAAAGGATTAGGTGACCTAAAAACAGCTGGACCAGGTGAGGGCAGATGGCAGAGGGGTTCATGACCCTTGGGGAAGGCAATGAAAACCTAGACAAGAGGCTAGACAAAACCAAAGAGTGGGAGGGGGTAGTTGGGTGCCAAGTGGCTTGGGAGGATAGAAGAGCAAGCTGAATCACAAATGGCAGGTCTAAAATGCAACAGCTGCTATAGTGACAAAGAAAAGAGGAAGAAAGAAGGGAAGAAAGAGAGAAAGAGAGAAAGAAAGAAACTCCCACAAGGTTTTATTTTCTCATTGTTATGATTGAGGATTTTTTTAAAGGCTTATATTTACTTAATGTGATGATAACTTGAAGGGCGTTAAACCTCAGAAAACTGGCATCTTGCTAAGCCTCAGAAAGACTGATGAATATCTCTTCCCAAACCAGGCTGTACCCTGAAAACCCTCCCAATAAGTCCAGCCTACCTGAGGGTTCCCAGGAGGCATGACTATGGCTGAGCTGAAAACCTCTGAGTCTAGCAGCTGAGCCAGACCTTCCTGCCACATTGGTCACCTTGCTCCCCAGGACCACTGTCACCAAGTTGACGTAGGTTTGCTCTCCCTGTTTGTACTGGGGAGCAAAGCCCTGAGGAAACAGGAACCCATTTTCCCATTGTTGCGTAGGGAATAAATAGGGAGAGAGCCAAAAACACATCCTACCATTTATTGAGCCTGCAGTGGGTGTGGCAGTCTCCTTTAATTTTCACAACTCTGAAAGTAAGTGTTGTCCCTATTTACAGATGGGGATTAGGACTGAGAGGGTAAGTGATACACTGAGGATTCACAGTTTGTAAACGGCAGAGCCAGGTTGGCTGACTTGAAGGCACATGCACCCCTACCAACCTCCAAACACAGCTACACGCACAGGAGCTGTGGGTGTGGGAGGCAGGGACCTCCCTGGAAGAGCATAAAAGGTGAAAGGGGCTGACGGCTGTTAAACACCTGCTGCGTGCCAAGCCCTATGGTAGACTCTTAACATACCCAATCGCCCTGTGAGGTAGGCAGGCTCACCCCTTTATTACCTGCTGAGAGAAGTCAAGAAACTTTCTGAAGGTCATTCAGTTAGTAAGTAACAGTGCTCACACTTCAATGCAGGTCTGGTTGAGTTGGTATCTTCCCTCTGACCAAGATGAGGGGGTTAACCAGAGAGGCTTTTAGAGAAATAAGGACTCTTACAGTAGAAGAGAAAGAAAAACTCATCAAAAGTGGTAAGATAGTTTGAAAACTCGACAAATATCCAGCCGAATGGTTAGAAATTAGCAGTATGTAATCTCGGACTAAATAGCCTGACAGTTTTTTAATCACCTTTATTTTACTAAATTTAACCCATCAGTTTTACATGAACATAAAACATTTTAAGATAGATGTCAAATTTGTCTTGAGTAGGACTCCGAAGGTGTTCTGGGATAGAAATGAATTCCCGAGATCCAGATGATAATAAATGAGCAGATAGATGTTCAGTTAGAGTGGATCCAGTAAAAGTCAGATATAAATAAATTGGAATTCAAGTAGCCAGACCTGTAGTTTAACTGCAATTTATTTTTAACATTTGAGGTTCAAGACAATAAAGCAAATTTCAACAAAAAAATACCCAACAACTTTTATCAGGGATTATTTAGAAGTCACTTGTACTGAACCTGTGTTGTGGCCTTTTTAATCTCCTTTGCATTCCACTGTTACATAATGCTCAGTTCGGGTCATGTTTGTCGTCAGGACCCGGGGGCACTGCAGATACTCAGTCACCAGAGAAAGAGTAAATTATGTCAAGTACGCCAGGGCAAGAAAGAAGTGAATACATTTGAAATATTGTCTAAACAAATAGTCCTAATTATCTTTCCGTTAACTAAAACTAATAAGTAGAAGATCCCTAAACCGCTTACTGTTTAAGGCTTTGCATGCTGTGTGCTGGAGGTGGCTGCACAGTAAAAAGAATGTTACCATCAAAGCCCTCCGAATTGCGTGGCACTCCTTTCTGTTTATCTTTCTTAATTATTAACTTCTTTATGAGCAGTCTTAAGATTAACTTTTGCAGAATAAGGGCAAAGTTTCCAAGTACAGTCAGTTTTTGATCCTTAGGAGCTGCCTGTAAAGTTGTGAGACCAGAGCCAAGACTAACTGGGATGGGCTTCACCTGCTGCGTGGTGATAACTGGCAACTTCTTTTTGGCAAGTGGGATGAGGTCACATGTGACAGCATCACAGAGCCCACCGCACTTTCTGATTTCCGTTCGAGGTCCGTGTCGGGGCCAAGGCTGCCTCCACGCATACTCATCTCGAGGTGTCGCAGTCCCCCAGCGTTGAGTATGCAGACACAGAGGACAGCCTTTTCCACTGGCGAATCGCCTGGCAAAATTCCCTCAAGTGGCAAAATCCTATCAGAAACCACTGATTTGAGACATTTTGCTGTTTAATTTGTTAGCCGTCTGCCCACTCTCTTACTGTATCTTTACAGACCTTTCTCTGCAAATAAGGCAGAGAAAGCTCAAGTAGATAAAACTTCAACCAATCACTGTTTGAGTATTTAAAACAAATCAATTGTTTGGAACTGAGCAATATCCAAAGTTGCATAAGATACTTTTTACTATTAGTTTGATTTTCCAACCTGGCTAATAGTATATTGTCATTGAGAGAAAGCCGTAAAAATTCATTATATTCCCCCCATTCAGAGGTCAAGGATAAACGTAGTAAATTTAGTAATTTGTTTTACACCTTGGGTAACATTTTAAAATTTAGTCTTCTTGAAGCACAATTATTATCACACCCTTTTGGGTTCAGAAACCTTGAGCAAATGATTCCTGTTTTCTAGGCAATACCCAGTTCCCTCAGGAGGAAGTAGTCAGGAGTTAAGGAGCTATAAACAGCAAGGCAAGGAGAAGTGGGAGTGATGAGTAATGGGGGTGCCATTTTAAACAGGTCAAGGGGACTCTAATGTCACCTGTGAGCAGAGACCCAAAGGGAAGGAAAGACCCATGTTGATAACTGGGAGAACATTTCAGATGCTTGCAAAGGCTCTGAGATGGACTAAGCCAGTCAGTCAGTATGAGTAGGAAAGATGAGAGGGAAAGTGGTACAAGGGGAAGGCTGAACCAGGCCATGGTAGAGACCTTGTTGTGTTTTACTCTGATGGGATGGGAGCTGCTGGAGGGTTTGAGCAGAGGAATGACGTGACTTATGTTTTAACAGGATCACTCTGGCTGCTGAGATGAAAATAGGGAGATCAGTGGTAGGATCAGGTAGACTAATTAAGAGGATACTGCAGTCACAGAGGGGAGAGATGATCAGAAAGGTAGAGGTACAGGTGCTAAGATGTTTTTAAGGTAGAGCTGAAAGAACTTGCTCATGGAAAGAGGTCAAGGATGACATCAGGGCTTTGAGCCTGATCACCGAGAAGAACAGAATTGCCTTAATGGACGGGAAAGACAGGACAGAGTTGGTTTTATGGCAGCGGGTAGGATGAAGGGAAATTCAAGGGCTTGGTTTTTGTCGTGATTTCTATTAGTGTAGCAAACATCCTTTAAATACCCTTCGAAAATATGTTAAAGTAATGCACATAAAGAAAAATTGTCCGGTCCTGGAGAACCTTATACTTTATGTGACCAGAGAACTGCCTGGTATTACTGCCCCTCATTCCTTTCCTAGAATACACTTCCCTTAGTTTCTTTAATAATCTCTGTNCGGTCCTGGAGAACCCTATACTTTATGTGACCAGAGAACTGCCTGGTATTACTGCCTTCATTCCTTTCCTAGAATACACTTCCCTTAGTTTCTTTAATAATCTCTGTCATTGAACTTTTGTCAGAAGCTTTTTTAAGATCCTAGTAAATGATATCTCCCGGTTCCCTTTTGGTGGCCTACTTGGTTATGTTCTTGGAATTTTTTGCTACCTAACACATGAACTTTGTAAGAGCTAAGATCAGAGGTTTTAGATTCCAATCATGTTTCCACACGATTGTTCTATGTGTAAACTGGGACAGCAGGGTAAATGGCTTCAGGGACCTGTGAACACGCCACTACTACAGCATTGGGCTCTACGCTGAGACTTGCTTTTTGGATGTGTCCTTCCCAATGAACAGTATGTACCTTGAGGGCAGGGTTTATAACTGCGTGTTTTTTTTTCCTTTCCTAAATCTAGCTTAGTACCTGACACAAAGGTTAACAGTAAATATTGAATAGGTGAAAGTTTCTGAATAAATTTTAAGCAACTAAATATGTCTTTTGTCTTTTCTCTTGTCTCATCTGTGTAGCACCTGACACCTACAAAGTGCACGAGAAGAAAACTGCTGCCTCCAACCGGCCCGCCTCTGCTATTTCAGGACAAAATAGCAACCACTCAGGAAATAAGCCAGGTATGATGCATTGCACTCGCTGTGGAAAAGGGAGACTATCCCAAAAGCCTTGAAGGCATGCTAGGATTTAGGAGAGCATGGTTCCATACTGACTTGCACAAATTTGTTAGAGAACCTCTCAAAGCCTTGATTTTCTCTTTTTAAAATGGACGTTCAAAGACTTTCCCTGTTTACCTCTCAGGATCATTTTGACAATCAATGAGATGGTGTGTGTGTATGCATTGTTTACTGTCAAGCAGTGTATTAGAGGTAATAATTTTACTATCCTATTTGAAATGATAGATATGACATAATTTTTTGTACTGGTATGCCCAACATTATTGCCTGTCACTTTTGTGACTCTTTTAAGGACCATTTAAGAAAACCTGTACACATAACAAAGCTGGTATAGAATTATGTTTTTGTTCACCATTCCCTGCAATGATTGTACAGCTACACACTAATTTCATTTAATAGCCTATGATTCATGGTCTGTCCCATTCAGCGATACAAAGCAAACAGTCTGTAAACATAATACAAAAGTTGGATAGACAATGCAGTTGCTTCCAGGTATCCAACAACCATTGTGTGGCCCTTGGAAGAGGCTAATGTACAGTGTAATGATGAGAGATGGAAGGTAAAGGCAAATTGAACCCTCCGTGAGGGTCTTGGAAGTCCACTGCAGGCTGCATCCAAGGCCAAAGTCAAGAACAAGGAATCAGTGAGATAGTATCCTCAACAATAAAGATAAATAAATTAAAATAATAATAATAAATAGAAATAATTGCATCTAGCCTCATAGGAAACATTCCTCCTTATACCTACGTTTGTGGAGCTTTTTCCCATATGGAAAAGGTCTTACATAAGACGCTTTAAGTAAGACCTAAATCAGACTGGTCACTTAGAAGAGAGTAAGTAGTACTGTTGCAAATATTGCATGAGCAGCCTTCAGTGGAGTTTCAGTTCGCAGGCTGAGATTTCCCCATTTAGTCATTTTGCCTTTTCATTCATTTGTTCATCCATCCATCTATCCACCCACCACCTGGTTATATTTATTGATCATCCATCCATCTATCCACCCACCACCTAGTTATATTTATTGATCATCCATCCATCTATCCACCCACCACCTAGTTATATTTATTGATCATCCATCCACCTATCTACCCACCACCTGGTTATATTTATTGAGTAGTTGTTCTATGCCTGGGACGATGAGAGGGGTGTATGAGCAAAACAATGGGACGGNCCTATCTACCCACCACCTGGTTATATTTATTGAGTAGTTATTCTATGCCTGGGACGATGAGAGGGGTGTATGAGCAAAACAATGGGACGGCCATCCTCCCAGAGCTTAGTATGGAGGGCTTTTGTTCCTTACACTCAAGCGAGCATCCTTGTGGAAGCAGACGTTCTTTAGCATGAAAACCCCATTTGTTTTACCATGAGAACTGAACATAGCTAAATGGTTTACACTGTTTTTCCCTTGTCTTCCCTATCAACAATCACTTCGAATGATTTTTTTCTACCATTCAATTAATTCTAATCAATTTTCCTACCATTCTGAAATTTTCAATCAAAATTTCTACCATTCTTGACTGCAATTTATACTTCTATGTCCTGAGGACTCATTTATTCATCTGCTATTAGCACTGTGTAGGTACTACAGGTATATTATTAAAAGACATAATCCCTACCCTCTAGTTGACATTATGGTGGAGTAAACTAATATATGAATAGATGCTTCTAACACAGAATTTCCAGTGTGATAAGACATTTGCATAGAGAGCACAAAAGTCAAAAACTCTCCACCCCAATTGTCCATCTATTTATAGAGCCTTTTGATTTAAGTTACTAAAGTCAGGTTAAATGAGGAGACATCTCATTTCAGATTAATTGTGTATTTTGAGCATTCTTGTGTCTGCTTTCTTGTATATAGAGATAAGCAAAGGTACATAAAAGGCTGTTATTTTAAAAACCATCATGTCATTTTCCTGCGTATCTCCAAAAGATAATATTAGAGGTTCCATGTCAGAGGACTAGGCTTGAGTAAAACCTTTTGATTTTATCAGATATGAGTCATGAGAATGTCTGTCTAGAGTAGGTTGTTAATTTTCATTCTCTAGAACTTGAAAAGAAAAAATACTTACTAAATTTGGGGGTATTTTGAGTATTGCCCTAACCAGACATGGGCATCCTGACCAAATGATTTCTCAGGGGCCCTTTTAACCCAGTAAAATTTTAGTTTCCTTCCCTCTTTTACCTTGTGCTAATTTAAATCCATTAGAAAACTCCAGAACATCTCTTTGATTTAGAAAGCATCTGGTCACATTCAGGTTGTTAATCTTTCATCTTTGAAGCATGTATAGCAGGCCCTCATGGTGTTTTATAAGTATGGGCGCACAACTCTCGGGTTATCCAGAAGGACCAGTGCTCTCAGCTGTGAATGCTTGAACCCAAACATTATATATATTGTTTGATGAAAATAGCCAAAAGGCTATGGTTACACTATGTTTTTACATAATTTTTGCCATTCGTCTTTATCAAATTTACTGAACAAAAAGATATTTATCTGTGTATATCAGTAGTTTGTTTTTTTTTTTAAAAATATGCTTTTCCTCCCATGTTTTTTATCATTTTCAGACCCTCCGCCTGTGCTACGGGTCGATGACCGCCAGCGACTGGCCCGGGAGCGCCGCGAGGAGCGGGAAAAGCAGCTAGGTATCTCTAGCCCGCATTTGGTCTTTAGGCAACACTTTGTTGAAATGGTACTTTCCCCTCTAGGATAATGGACACTTAGCGTTGAGCAAATGGACATCACTATAATAATTGTGCTCTCTAGCATGCCTTTATGAGTTTTGCAAATGAATTTGGAAACAGAATTTAGTATGTGATACAAACACGGGACTAAATTTTAAGCGACAATAAAGCCTGGCCCCTGATTAAGGTCATTTTCACTTCTTCTTACATTGTAATCACAGTTTTATGTGGCCCTGGAGGGAATGGATATATGAGAGGCGTGATGGCTCAGCTTACATTTTACAGCTTAAAAAATACAAGGACAGTAAGCATATGGTTCTTTTTTATGGGAACAGTTATGAGAAGAGACACTGCTAGAGGCATTTACCGTTTTCCATGTTAAAGTAATGCTGCTGTTGAATTTATAGACAGATGCTAAAACTTTGCTGCCAGGAAAAGCATAAGACCTTGTGCTGAGAGGTCTGATTTTTCTGTTACATGAGGCCCTTGTGAAAGGTTAGCAACTGGAGTATTTGCCATATAATCACCTGGAGAGCTGGGTCACAGGACTGGCTTACCAGGAAGCTGCAATCAGAGCTCTCATCGGTCATTGTCTTCCAGAACATTGAGCAAGCATGCTGGTGCCAACTCCTCCTTTACTTTGCAGTTCATTTATGCAAAGTTGCTAAAACAGGGTACTCTCTTTATGTACGTTGAAAAGATGAATTGCCTGGTCAGTATGTCTGTATTCCTGGAGCATCTCAGTATTTTAAGACTAGGGCTGACTCAGGTTGCCAAAATCTTTCCAGTGGATGACCCATAAATTTTATAAAGTTCTGCTGTATTTTTAAAAGTTCATGTTTCAATTGGGGAACCCAGCCATTGTATCCCATCTTTTTTAAAATTCTTATTTAAGAACCCAAATTTGTGAAATTCCCTGGAATATGTTTTTCAAAAGTCTATTAGCATTATTTACACTCTTAACTTTCTCTGCCTTGCCACAATGATCATATAAAGTCATTTCTTTTGCTGGCACGGTTTTTTCGACAGAAATTTCAATGACTTGCTGAAAGTGAGCAAGCTCTCCTGTTTTCCTGTGCCTAGAGTTTCCACCCAGTCTTGAAGTTCCCTGTCTCTGACAGATTTCCTGCAGTTTGGTAGGTTCCTGGAGAGGAGGGCTGTCTGTGGACTGTGCCCACTGCTCCCTAGTCAAGTTTAGTTTGACAAGTGGACCAGAACTGAGAAAGAGGGAAAAGGCCAGAGTTACTGAAGCAGGAAGAGACTCCAGATGAGCAAAAAGAGCAAACTGACTGCTGCCCTAGGGTGGCTGTTATTGGCACTCTGGCTTTGGGGCCATCGGAGTATTAGCACTTGTGTCCTTCACCTCCCCTTTCCACCCCGTCCCAGTGGGTCAGGTCCTACACTATTAAATGTCTCCTTAGAATTGCAGCGTGGATTCATGTATGCTTGAGTGGAGGTAGCTCCATAGCATCGGCCTACTTTTTTATGATTTAAATCCCATTGTGAATTGGCTTTTACACATTAACTCATGCCTTTCCGTTTGGCTTCTTTGTCCTTCAAAGCCAAGCTTTATTAATTCTTTTGTGGGAAAAGTAAATATGCTAGACAAACAAAAATTATTTCCCTCATTCTGCTATAAAGTCATCAGACTCATAGCTTCAAGCCTGCAAATTCTCCCTGCAAGTTGCCTAGCTTTGTATGTTAAGTGGCTAGATATTTTTTTCTTAAAATGTAGTCCCATATTTCAATTCATATCAGTGGTGCAGAACATGACTCATTAATTTATATATTCAGAAATTTTATTTGACAGGTACTGTGTTAAAAAGATGAATTAAGGTGGAAACCCAGCCCTCAAGGGCTAGCTGCAGTCCCTTGAGGAAACAGATGAGCACAAAGCAATTATAATACAGGATGGTACCGGAGAGGTGTGCACAAGGGGTGTTGAGAACCACAGAAACACCTAACCCAGTCTGGGGATGTCAGTGTCACCTGGGCTTCCAACTAGAGGGTGAAGAAGAGTCGTGCAGGGAAACAAGAGGCGGGACTGCAGGGCAGATGCAAGGACAGGTGGGAAGAAGGCATTTGGTAACAGACCCGACGTGCTCCTCGGATTAGTACATGGGTCAGAGTAATTTTCAGATTATTGTATTATCCTATTGTATTTTACTTTTTTGATGAACCAGTATTTAATATACAGTGTTTCTCTTTCTTCATAACCCTGCCCTGTTAAATATCATAGTTTTCTTTAAATTTGGTATCATCTCTTTTGTTATTGTTGAGAATCATAATTTTAATGAAATACATCAATTCTTATTTTTCATTTGTGTGAGTTCTATTGCATTTTTAAATTTTAATTTTCTCGTTGCTAATTCTTTTCCATTTAAGCCATCATAGTAGAAACTAAGTCTTGAGAGGCTCCCTGGAATCTTCATAAATATACAAATAAACATTCTTGCAAATGCACATGCATACATCTTTAAAGAGTCATCTAAAGTCTAGCATTGAATTTAAGCTGTGCCTTTGAATACATAAGGGTGATTTCTAAAAATTCTTTAGTATTAACAGAAAATCAAAGGGCACACTTGACGAACTACCCATACACTGTGCTTTGCAGAAGCTATGGTAGCAGTTGAATATTTTTTTAAAAGGGGCTAGGGGACTATCACTTAATAACAAATATTTGGACTGTGCTTTTTTGAAAGCAAAAAACATTGGTAACATCAGTATTACAAAGCTTTCAAACTTTACAGCTTTCCAAGTTAAAGGAGAAAAAAAACAGGAATCCATTCCAGAAATTCCAACAAAGCAAAATCTAAAGTGATTGGTCAGTGAGACTGATTATTCACTGTTGGATGTAGGTTTAAATTAACATTGAAAGATTCTTTTTAATCCACATTTTAAAAAAATCAAGGTAGAGAGAATAAAGGTCTTTTTGTTTTGTTTGTTTTTTTGGTGGCATATCGTGTTTGTACTGATTGCAAATGGAGGTCCTATTAATAACTTTCTGTGGGTTAACCCTCTGAGTCATGCTTTAATGCTTTTATGGCAGGATTATGTCATGTGGCCTGCTCTTTCTACGTTATCTTTCAATTTATTACATAAAATCAGGCATAATCCTTCATGTTTGGGATTGTTCTGTCTGGTTGAGCATTAAAAGCTTTATACATGAAGGAATCTGCTCAACTACTCCATTTCATCTGATTCTTTTCAGGCCATTTCTTCAAACTGCTCTCTCTTGACTTCTACATCTTTTTTTGCCATTTCTCTTCTAAACTTTAATTTTGTTTTTTACTGGGGGGGGGAAGGATCTTATTTGTTCTCATGGTTTCAACTCCCCTTTTCTGATGATACGGGTTTTGCATTTCCAGCTACTCATAAAGCAGTGGATGCATTCCCATTATCTGAAACTCAGCTTCTATACAAATAAATTGTACATCAGCTTTCACTCCAAAATTTACTCCTCTGGGTAATTTCTGTGTTCCGATCAGTTGCACCAATATTTTTTTTGGCCCCAAGAAATTATTCCTTGTAGCTATTTTTGATACCTCTGGTGCTGCTAGAGGAACTGGTATCTTTCTGACTACCAGTGTTAGCACTGGGTCTTTTGCAGGATAAAACATTCTCTCTTCCTTGGTGGCTCAATGCTGTGCACTGGCCAGTCCCCACCCTGGCCTGTTGAGCCACTTGTAGCTACCAGTGGTCAGTCTGGACTCAGCCGAGTCCTCTGGCTGGGGATTCAGCTCTCTCTAGCCCAGTATGTGAGTGGAAGTTGCTGCTCTCTCTTTATCCTAAATCCATTTAGTCATAAGACTAGCTGACCTCTGTCTTCGGCATAAATCTCAGTCCCATGACTACGTTTGCTGCCCCTGCTATGGTCCTAGTCCAGGCCATAATGCGCTTACGTCTCAGTCACTGGTTCAGTCTCGTTGATGTCCTGCACTAGCCCAGCTCTGTCATAGTTAGCGCCAGTCTTTCTTTTTGAAGCCTTTTTAGCCCTCATTATCTTTCTCCTTTTGGAAATTCTATCATTTTCTCACTATATCTTATGTAACTATCATATTTTAGTTCACATCATAATGCCATTTTACACTCTACTAAACTTTCTCTGGTTGGATTTTATATTACGCCCTGGTTGTGTATATTTTAAGCTTTTGAAGCGTATGACCGTTGTTTTCCAATTCTTTGTATACTAATACATGGCATAGCACTAAGTTTAAATAGATGTATAATAAATATTTACTGATTTTTACTGATTTTACCCTAGTTTTTAATTAAGTAATAATATTAAATTACCTTAATGTTATTAATAAACAGTAATAACAATGTTTATTAAGCAGTAACTATGGGCCAAGCAGTGTTCTAAACACTTCACTATGTATTATCACATTTAGTAGCAAATTAAGACAGTGGTTGTACTTTTTATTGCGTGGGCCTGCCATAGTTGCGAATGTAATTTATTTAATAGAAGGTCATTTATTTTATTTTTAAAACACTGAGTGATAATTTAGCTTAAGGAAGGAACCGAGAGAATCTAGAAAAACCGAGTAGATAATAGACCCTCTTTTCTTTCTGTCATATCAGCTATTTAGACATGCTTTTAATTGGTACAGTCACCAAGATCCATGTGAAAAGTCCTCAGCAAGTGGTGACACTGCCATGTTAAAGGTCCTCAACAAGTGGTGATGCTGTTAAGTAAGAGCGATCCCTACCTCCATGCTGCTGTGGACTTTCTGAAGTTAGCCAGGCACGGAGCAAACTCTCGTGTGAATGAAGGGTTAGGCTACTTCCTCGTACCAGTGAGGTGCAGGAGTGCCGAGTGCCTGCTCCATTTGACACACAAGAGGGTGAAATGCAAGTGTTGACGCAGTTTCTGACATCTTTTTGAGAACTGTTTGTGGCATTGATCATTTGTTAGCCTTGGAGTCCACTGAGTATGTCATTTTGTCTATATGCACTTGAAATGGATCCTGGTTATCAACTGTTCTTCAAAAACACAAGGATCAGAGCA